TAAAAATGCAAGTAAAAGAGTTCTAGATAAATGAAAATATACATGCCTAACATTTTTGGCCGAGACTGTAGGTTATATCTACATTTATATGACAGCAGATTACACGTTTGTCTTTTTTAATATATTAAATAACATATTTTAATATATTTAATATATTTTAATATATTAAATATTAACTATTGAATATTAAATAATATATTTTAATATATTTAATATATTTTAATATATTAAATAACATATTTAAAAAAAGAGAAAATACAAAGAGCATTATTATTCAGCTCTTGTTTTTTTGTACTCGATTACGCAAATCCAATACGAGTTACGCAGAAAGAACTGTGTATCTCAGACAAATTTATTGCAGTTCGGATTATATAGCGTCGTTCATATTACCGTCGCATTCTTTTCTAATGATCGACTCATTTTGTTTTTACTGCCATTCACATTTCGGCCAAAACATATGAAGGAATGCGTACAATCTACGCACGTAAATCGCGTCCCACGTTCCCGTCGACATCACATGCATTCACGCACACTCGCATGGATAATCCCGTTAAAATTTGTCACTAAGTTGATACCTAACGACGCCGATCAGCCCTCCAGCTTTGTTATATTTAATGTCGATGGTTTAATCATGCCATTAATGACCTGATATCAATCGGAATCGATTATCTTACCGATCTTATCTTAATCGTGTATAAATAAGTCGCCGATGGAAGTCTTTCACTGGAAGGTATGATATGGAATGATCGACCCTCGCAAGTCGCACATAAGTCACGCGTCTCGACGTACAGTAATAATCGCGTTTTATCGATTACCTTGTACTTTAAACTCATAGAGCAGACGTCAAGTGCGTCAGTTTCGATACGGGGAAGAGTATTCATGAATGATGCCGGGAATCTAACTGATTGCACGCTTATTATCTTCCTTTAATTACGTTCGAGCCTGTGTTAATTATATACATATATATCAGTTCCAGCTCTTTCATTCTTAATAATGAACGATGTATACCATTATAATATATACAGATTTATGTATTGTATTTATTTTTTTGTTTGCAATGGCTTTCTTTCGCTATTCTTTCTCTATTCCTTTTTTGTATTATAAATATGTAAGGTTTGTAGTTGGATTAGTGTACACTTTTAGAATTTAAAGTGTGAAATAAATATATATTTGATAATAATTTACCTATTAAATAATAATTTAGAAAGAATTTGCGCATGCAATTACAGCGTTGACTCCATATTAGTTTCTTTGTAATTAATTTTTATACAATTAATTTATATACAACTACAGAAGGAGTAATTACTTAATCGAATTAATTAATCAAATTACTTAATTAATTTTAGTATATTGTATTTTTTTTTTTTATATATATATTTGGTATTGGCGGAAGCAAGAAAGAAAGTATTCTAGTGAAAAATATTCTAGCAGGAATAAAAACAAATCTATGAATAAAAGCGTAATAAACATTTGTGTATTTTTTTTTATTTTAGAATCTAAAAGCTCTCGTTTTAAGAGACTTCTTGACGGTCAATCTCGAAAATAAATCAATTACTACATATCTAATCGACGTCACTAGATTTAGGCTCGGCAGTTAGTTAAGCCTTCGCTCGCGCAACATCGAGAAGCGTGCGTGCGTGCATGCGTGCGTTACGTGCGCAACGCTAATTGGTAGAGCAGGTAACGAAGGTAGCGAGAGAGAAAGAGAGAGACCGGTCTAAAGTGATCTAGCGTTAGATCGAATCGACGTGGATCGCGCGAGAACAGCCGACAGATCGTACGTCGTTAGTAAAGATCTGATGGAGTAGAGACAAGGAGCCGATACCTGTTGCGGAGATGTGCGCCGCCGCAAATTGATGACACGCAGAACAAAAATATCTCGGGGCGCGACAAGAATAAGAGAGAAAAGAAATGAAGGGAAGAGTAGTGTTACACGAGTTTAATAAAAAAAGAAATTACATATGATTAGGTGAGATTTATTGTAATGTAATGAAAAAATTTGGCAGTTTGCGATAAACTTAAAAAAATAAGTTAAATAATCGCAACTTTAATTATTATTATCTTTATAAGAGGAAAAAAAAAACGAAATACAGACGATTTATAATATTTTGCACAATGTATGCCATAATTCTTTTACAAAAATTATAAGAAATTATATAGGATTGAAAATCATCACAATTTAAAAAGAAATCAGGATTTATATACACTGGGATTTACATACGTTCGGGATTATATAAAATTCTAAGTACGATCGGAGTAAATGCTGTATAGTATTAATCTTATCTCCAAGATTATAGTTGAACATAATAATAATCATATACTTGTTTCCATCGCGCGATAAATGCAGTATATGTAATAAAAAGACTTTGCCTGTGAATTACATGCGTTGATAATTAGATGCTCGGTAGAAAAGAGAAGCACAAGATTATGTTTTGCGTACAGAACCGGTCTAATAAATCCAAAAAGTTTCGGATATCCGATAATTCGATCTAAGCGCTAGATCTCGGCGTGCCCTCGCACGCATCTCAGCCGTCATCCACGAAGGAAGCAGCGACAAAGCGGCCCGAGATAAGTATACACTCGAGTTCATTGACAAGCACGTCCCCGCGGGACGATTATTTCCCTCCCGATATTCCAGCGATCAGGAAGAAGAGAAGAGCAACGAGACGCGAACGGGAAGAAACGTCAAGCGTTCCAGCGAAAGGAAAATGTTAAATTCACATCCTCCCTTCGTCTGTCTTGTTCAAGTTTCCTCAAGTTGTACGACGATCCTTCTCGATCCGCAAACACACGTACACCGCGTACTCTCGTTCGACGAGAGACGCGAGAGAAGGAGAGAGACACCGAGCGGTCTAGTCTCTGACTACGGTCGAACGAAGACGACGCTCGAGATCGAAGAGGAGGAACGCTACGGTGGAGGAAACGACACGGAAGGGGGCTAGCAGGGCAGAGCGGGAGGATGAAGCTCGAGAGGCGTTCATCGGTCGGCGGAAGCAGCGCCGACGAGACCATAAGATACAGCGATGAAGCGAGACGAAGAGTGCGACAGCTGGTACAGTTGATGGTATTTGTGCCTGTGGACGCACCGGTACCAACGACGTACGATGGTTGCGTGTGATGGTGATGGTGGTGGTCGGTCCACCGAGTATATCGTGTGGAGCTGCGCTCCAACACTTGCTCCACGCACGAGAGAGCGAGGAAAAAATAAAGAGAGAGAGAGAAAGAGAAAGAAAGAGAGACACTTGCCCCCTCCTGCCGCGGGCGGCGCCACTCGAGGAGATCCTTTCCTCTTTTCGCCTCTAGGCCATTCTCGAGAGGCGCGCGCGCCAACGCGGTGTCGCCCGATCGGTCCTCGTCGACCTTCGACCAATACACGGGCGTCTAAAAGAGTGCGTACCGCGGCTTTCCACCGGGTGACTTTTCCGAAAGTGACCTCGCGGAACGAGTGGGTTGGTTTGGTGCTCCCTTTCCGTGACCGCCCCTCCCGCAGTCGCCCTTGTACAGTTAATCACCAACATCGTCATCATCGTCGTCGTCGTCCTCATCATCGTCATCATCATCTTCTCTTCGCCCCCACGTGACAGTTCACGACCACGTGGTCTAGTCGGATTGATCGATCGCGCTCTCGCCGCGGGATGCCAACGTTACTCGCTACGAAGTGAGACAGATTCCAGAAAGTGGTGATCGTCATTCGCAGTGTGTTTTCACAATGGAATTAAGCCGTAATGAGAGATTAATAAGGTTCGTGCGTAATGCGTGAATCAACTATCACCGACGGTGAATATTATCGAAATTTGATTCTCGCGATTGCTAGAGAAAAGGAGGAAGAGGAGGAGGGAATCTCGCGCGACGAAGGATTCGAGAATCTACGTGATGCGCGTGATTTATTATCTTACTACGCAGGCTCGAATAAACACAATCGGCCTCGCGTAAACTGAGAGAGGATATCGGCATGTCAGCGTGCCGCGCGCGTCGATCGATCGAGGACGGTATCTCGCCACCGACCACCGTCCACGTCTCGATTCCGCGGTGAAATCGGGCCGGGTCGAACGGCCAGGCTGTCGATTGTGAGAACGGTAAACCGGCACCGACTCGCACCGCGGAACCAGCCTGCCACGTGACTTTCGGTGGCTGCCCGCGGCTTCTGCGTCGTTCGCCACACGCGAGCGTATGTACGCCATTGGATGCCGTTGCGAGTATACTCCGGTACTCCGATAATTCCGCATCGATCGAATCGCGAATGAAGAAGTGCGTCGAAGGAGATTACTCGCAAGTCGATTACTCGATCTTCTGACGTTCTTTTTTTCTTTTTCAAATTCAATAGTCATCCTGCTATTGACGGCGAAAAGAAGAAAAAAGTTCACGACCTGAATAACGACGCAATCGCGACGTAATCGCGTCCGGGAAAAATCTGCGCGCGACGATGGGATGCCGTTTAATTATGTATTGACGTATTCAATCTAATGATCGAAGCTGCCTTAGCTGCGCACAGAGGAGGAAAAACGGAAAGGTGGAACGGGAGAGAGATCATCTCTCGGCGCGGATTGCGTATCGCGCGCGGAGAGTTGAATGCGCGCACAAGCAGGCACGAGGTCGTCCCCCTCGACGATCGTCTCGAAACGAGCCTCGTCGAAACTCGTTCGAAAGCTGACGCATCGCGTGAACGCGAGACGCGGTCCGGAGGCGATCGGTGACGCAAGATCGAGGCATTGAACTGTCCCCGCGTGTTTTAACGCGACAAAATTTCTCCGGCGCTGCAAGATTCCACGGCGAGACTTCGATTTCAGGTCAAACATTGTAATAACATTCTGCGGATTACCACGATCCGTTCGCGCTGCATGATTGACGTGCGCCCGATTGGCCCTCAAAGAAATCCCGCCTTGCGTTACCTGGTTATATTATCGAAGTCTTGCTAAAACGATCGCGTAAACGCGATTCCTCGTCGAACGATCGAGATGTCGAAGCTCCGACGAAACGGCGCGCTGACAGCTGTTCGCAAATACTGTTGACGTTTGAGGTCTCTTAATTGAGTGGAACGTAACGCGCGTCGAGAACAACGTAGTTTCTTTTCGTGAATGGCTCTTCAACGATAGTGAAAGTTACGTTTGACAGCGAATTTGCATACAATTATAGCAGTGCCATTGTAAGTCGTCACTATAGATACTCCCAAGTTTCATGCCATAGTAGTGATATAGCTAGAGTTTCCCTTTGCGACAATTTTTTTTTTTTTTTAAGAAAGTACGTCTTCATTTCGCAGCGTGCCACTGATTTGTGTCATTTATTGTAAAACTGGTATGGAACAAGTATAAACGCTGATGCGATGACGTTTGTACGCGTCTGAAATTCAACGTCATCGTACAGTGATGGCTGCGAGAGGTGTAACATCGCGATTAATGGCAATTTTAATGCCTGGCTCGTGTATGGAAATTTAATCGTACAGAAATCAAGGCGCAGCCCGATGAAAAACTTACATATTCTCGACAACGTTTCGCTAACGACACACAACTTGGTGATTTGAAGCGCTCGAGTGCGCTTGTTGATATTTCTCGTAAATAAACCAAGTTTATCCAGTTAATGAACGATCATTATGCCATCAAGGAATAATCAGGAAAGATTGCCGCCGACGATGCGATTCGACAAATGTATGTGAATGTTACTGACAATCGGATCTTCGTAATTGGCCAAAGTTTTAACAACGATAGCGAACCCATGCATTCCTCTCGTTAAACAATCATTACTGGATGATACGCGCATCGTTTGTCGACCGTAATGACAAACATATATACAGGAATGTATCTATCAAATTGAAGTTTAACACGTGTACACGAGACTCTCATGTCTCATTATCGAGAGATCCTTACATTGTCAGAGTTAACAACGATAAACTGGCTCAGGTTTGATCTCCGAGTTCCTTTCCAATTGGACGATGGCGAGCTCATGGAAATTCCAACATTAAGATTAACCGATATCTCTGGTAACTTCCGATAATTGGTCGCGGAACGGACGAGATTTTACGACGAAAGAAGGCTCTATGTACTCGCGTCCGTACTCACTTGGCCACTGTCGGTGTCTGGCTGTTACCTATCAGCGGCTGGCGACTATCTCGTCAGATCTGCGCGAGTCCCGACGAGCAAGGTAGCGGGTATCATCAACTCTGGACTCCGGAGTCCACCATGTCCGTCTTGGAAGCCGGTGAAGCTGACCGGACGACGACGATGTCACCGCTGGACGAGGTCGTATCCCCGACGAGCGTCGAGTCGGAACTGATGGTCACCGACATGTTGGACGAGCACGAGGCTGCGCTTAACGAGCACAGCAAGCGTAAGAGAGACACGGACGGCGATGAATTGACGCCAAGGAAGCTGCCATCGCTCACAAGGAACAACAATGAGGTCGGGTTTGTCCTCGAGGGAAGTCCCGACGACGAGCTGCAAGAGGACAGGGACGACGTGAGTCTGCCTTTTTCTTTCAGCAATATTAAAGCGCCGAACGGAATTCTGAATTGATGATGATGTAATAGAACAATGATTATTATCGTAATTGCAACAAATTTTATACTAAGTAAATGATAAATTAACTTTCAATAATATCATTATTGATTGCCCTTGATATTATCAGAAATATTTCTATTATAATTAGTACTATTATTTCTAGTACTAAATTCAATAATTGTATTTTATTTTTTGTTATTTCGTATTTGATTTATACTGTTATTGTTATATTTTGTACTTAATTTTTTTCTCGACTACTATATTCAACTACGACTATATTCGACGACTATATTCAAGTTTGTATTCAATATTATTTGTTAAATTTGTGTTTTGTTTTGTAATTCTTTATTCTGTATTTTTAAATACGATCTATTTTTCATACCCTTTTGTTCCGCTTTTGCGCTTCTATAACCGTAACTCATTACTCTCTTTCTCTCTCTCTCTCTCTCTCTCTCTCTCTCTCTCTCTCTCTCTCTCTTCTCTCTCTCTCTCTCTCTCTTGTGATAGACATTAGAGTAGCAGATTTTGCTGGTGCTTTACCATTTTGTGCACCTGTACTTTAACTATTTTTTTCTTGCTTAATTCTGTCACCGTTTTTAATTTGTAATTGATACACAAATAAATTAAATTAGATTACATTAAATTTTGTATATCATAGACATAATAATACTGACAAGGATTATTTTCGCAGTCGGAGAATATCCTTATCAATTTCGTTATGCATAATATACAAAATATTTTTAATAGTATCAAGGGCAATTAATAATGATGTTATTTAAGTTATTTTGTTATTTACTTAAAATTTATGAAAAATATGCAGAACTGAAATATTTAAATATTTATTACGAGAATTAAACATTACGTAATATATTCATATTTATATATATATATATAGACATACTTAGAATAGATTACGCATGTGAAGTTGTTTTAGGAAGAATAAGATTCGTTTTAGGAAAAATGAGCTGAAAGCACTCTCTCTCTCTCTCTCTCTCTCTCTCTCTCTCTCTCGTTCTCTCTAAGGTATCAAGTTGAAGAAATGATACCAAATTCTTTTTGACAGTGTAAGGCACAGAAGTTAAGATTAAGGAATGCGCGGTCTATACCTATCATGTTTATGTATTTGTATTTATATGACTCATTTTTAGTATAAATTTTTGACATTCTCGACAAATATAGTAATATTTTTAACAATACTCTGGTTTTCTTTCCTCATTTGTTTAAATCATGTGTCCGCGCAGAAGTATTTTTTGTTTTTCGAAATATATCTTATCGTCAATTGAGAGACAGGTTTTCTGTGTTGCACAAAGATAAAATTCTCATGTGGTGTGGAGAGACAGAGAGAGAGAGAGAGAGAGAGAGAGAGAAAGAGAGCAGCTATCGAGTGCCCGCCTACACACAGTTATACCTGTTTCAGACTCCGCGAACGTATATTCTATTCTTGACACTCGGCAACAAATCAGATGCTCAGATCCATGGGTGTAATAATACGCGGCTATTAATGCGTGCTCTTTCGCGCTTTAGGAGATCTGCATCGCCGGTTGTGCCCTTCTTGCGCGATTATTATTCGCATTACATATTCCTATTGTAATATCTTGACATGATTCAAAACGCGATGCGCATTTCTACTGTTTGCTCAAGCTTTTCTCTCAGTGCTATAAATTTAATGACTTTATTGTCTACACGCATCGTTACGTGTTTCACAGAGTACCGCTATCGAACAAGAGTTGTGCATTTATCAGACAGAAAGACAGCTAGTATTTTAATTGCGCGTCTAATGTCGTCAATCAATAACGTGACTGTGATCTAAAAAGAAATACAAAATCTTTCAACAGAAATAATTAAGCGCTTAATAAATTGATCATCAATGCTGTCGAGTACCAACAGCTTGATTTATTACATTGTCTTATAATAAATTATTTCAATTTATATATAAAGACAGAAATTGCACTAGCACTAACATCCGTTAGATGACGGACAATCATCTTTACTTAAAAAATTATCACTTCGATGAGATCTTCATGCAATTTCCGATTGTTATTGTACAAGTTACATCGAATGTGGATGAACCACTGGTCGCATCGTTTATTATTACGCGATCCATCTTTACCAAAGGTAAATCAATCTGAGAATGAGGACGAACGGATAGGCAGCGTCGTAGGAAACGAAACGAAGTTGCGACGCCGCGCGAAACGGGTTTCAGGAAAAATCCGAACGCAATCCTGAGACGTGATCGGTGTCGGTGCTTCACGGTGCGTTCGATGTAGCACGTGGTAGCTATACGCCGATGATCATACCGTCCATGGTATAGCATCGGATATTCCATTAACCGCATTTGCGAGTCGGTGGCGCGCAGCCGCGCGAGCGCGAACGAAAAGAAATTATCCTTCGCTACCGACTCGGGCTCGTGTCGTTAATTATATCCTCGGAATCGGCGCTTTCGCAGTGTCTAACGATGCCGTGAGTTACCTTAGGTAGTTTCACGCTTCTCGTGCACGTGATGAGGGAAGATTAGCTCATAGATGTTCTTTCGGCGAACGTTTCGTGACCGACGACGTTTGGGAAATAATCTCTCCTCGGGGAGGGGAATTTAGTGTTTTTAGTTTTAATGATCACTGTTAACCTTTTGGGTGGAAATTGATTTATTCGTATCTACAAGGAATCTTGCTAATCAAATTTTGATTTTAATAAAACTTTGTACAGGATAACTTATGTAAATTGATGACTTTTATAGAAAAGATCAGTTGGGATGAAAAAACGATTATTTTTAAGAGATAAAATAATTTCTTATAAATCTTTTCTTGTTATTTTGAAAACTATTCAAGATATCCAAAACATGTACATACAAAAGTTTTATAATATTAAGAAAATAATTTTAAAGATATGAATTTTAAAAATAATTATTTCTTTTTTTCAATAATATTATAAAACTTTTGTATAAAATATTTTTTGATAACTTGAACAGTCATGAAAAGAAGCTAAAAACGCTTTATTTATAAGAGATATTTTCACCCCTTAAAACTATTTTTCCACCTCAACTAATATTTCCTGAAATTTACCTGTTTATATAAATATATTCAAAATTTCATTGAAATTATAGTATTTGACACTTCTCGAGATTTCTCTAATAAGAAAATATACTTTTTATTTATATTAATTTAATTAATGTAACATTTAAATTGAACGTTATGAGAGACGATTATTAGAGTGATCGAAAATAGAAATTGGAAAGTCAATCGAATTAATATCTTGCATATATTATGTAGGAAAGGGAAAGGTAAAAGTCATTGCGCGAAATGTTAATATTTTTCTTACCGATTGCTACACGAAGAAGCAATAATACGTAAATATATACATTATATATATATTGACAAATTATCGACGATAAATTTCTTTAGATACATCGTACTGTAACTTTTTAAATATAACTAACTTAAACTTTGATAATCCAAGCACCGTAGCGTTATCACGCAATCTTAATGCCAACGTGTGCAAAGGTATAACCATAATGATAAATCATAGTTAATAATATAATTGGACAGCAAGATTAATAATGTAATAGCGAAATAATGCAGATTCGTACGATTAGGCCACCATCGTGTAATGCAGACGTTCAACACGATGTGCTATTGAGAGAATTATACGGTATTGTAAAATTATTGATACGTAATAAATAGTTAATAAATTTCTCCTTGGATTAAAGAATAAGTATAATCGTCGATATATCCAAGAGGCTTAGGGTGAATTCATATCTTGACAGAAAAGCAGAAAGTAGAAAAGCAAAAGCCAATCAGAATTCACGCTAATAGTCAACAAGTTTCAGCTTTCTGCTTACAGAATATACTGTTTACTACCAGCGCGAGCTCTGATTGGTTTCTGTTTTTTTGCTTTCTGTTTTTCCATCAAGGTGTGAATTCATCCTTACGCGTCTATGCATACGTCGAGAAAGCTGTCGTATCGAATAGCGAGTGACGTATCGATAAACGCGTCAGTCATCGTCATTGCGATCTCTAAAACACGCAAATCATTTCAATCATTTTGCGTTGACCGAACGTTGGCGGAACGTAGGAGGCGAAAGCACTTTTCGATAAAAGTATAGCACGCTAAAATCGGCCCGTAGCGAGTCTCGTGCTCGCTGAACGGATAATATCGTCTCGTTAAGAAGCCAGTAAACACCGCGATTGATCGTCGAAAGATCCCTCGTATGACAGTTTTAATGGCCTGCAGATAATCGCCTTTGCCGACGACTTTGCGAGCGATTAAAGGTGAGGCTAATGTGCCTTTCACGTATCACGAAAGCGCAAGTACAGTGATGGTATATAGTGTACAGTACGGCAAACAGTCTTCTGTTTTGTGTGTGTGTGGGTGTGTGTGTGTGTGTGTGTGTGGGTGTGCGTGTGCGGACCTTCTTTCATGATGGGTCGAACCTCGCAATTTCTCACATGATACCACTTCAATTCACGAGAAATAAGGGGAACACAACCGTTCGCAATAAAATTTTAATAATTCATACTTGCGACCAAATACCAAGACAAGATCTCGTGCGACGGTAATTAATACGCTCGAGCAAATAATTCAGCAAAGTTCACTCAGGTTTTTTGTTGGGTAATGGTGTTTACATTAAGACAGTATCATGCGTTTACACGTTTTTACCTGTTTGTTTCGCTTTATAATCGTACTGCGGAGACAAAAAGAGAAACTTCAATAATAATGTTTTCTATCATAACGATAAATGTACTCGTATATTAAACACCGAATATAAATAGGCGATAATCAACGTAATTATCGACATCAATATACAAATAAAAAGTTATTATTTTAATTAATTGCTAGTATTTTGCATATCTCGAGCCCGTAATTTCTTTGATTTAATAAATAATTCTCAAGAAAAATAGTCTATATTATATAACAATGCGGTCTGCATTAGATTTGTTTTTTGCTAATGTTTTTTATCAAAC